TCTTTCCTAATGGGGAGTGCACTTTGGCATGGGAAGAATTGAATTGGTAATGGGAAGGTGGGAGTATTGTTTTGTGTTGAAATACTCATTTACCTCTTAACTGTTGAATAAATGTAGCCACTAGTGTATGCATAAAATCTTCTTTAATCCTCTGAGTTTTCAAGCAACAGGTAGAAATTTCCTGTTGAGAAACATATTTGAGGGAGATGAGCATTTTTACAAAGAGCATGAATCTGTTCACCATCTGGAGAGACTGGAATTATTCGATGTATTCAGCATGAATTTAGGTGAGTTTGGGAGAGGCTGTAAATTTTGGCGGCTTACTGAACTCAGCTTTCCCTCATCAAACAATAGCTAATGGCCGGCTATCATAGATGTTGTGGTATGGCTGTAGGAGGCTGCTGCTCAGGCTTTCCAGACATGGGCCTATTCATCAGTGGCATCAGTTTTCATCCTAAAGACATCACTCTTTCTAAAACAACTGTAACTTTTAAAAAATTTCCTGTAGAAATTCCTTCAGAAAATTTGTTTGCCTCTCAGAAATGAGCTTGCCTTATACTCATAGGAAAACATTCCCACCCACTCTATACTTCTATTTTTTCACTTAATGAACACCGATGTGTCACTGTGGGTTAATACGCTGGATTGCATATTCGGTTTGAACTGCAAGGTCAGTAGTTCAAGCTCACCAGCCGTTCCTCCAAAACCCTATCCGGGGTCACTATGGATTAGAACGGACTCGATGGCAGTCAACAACAACAACAATAAATACTTATGTAAGTGGTGATTATTGTAGTTGTTGTTGTCAAGTGTTGTCGAATTGGTTCCAAGTCATAGCAATCCTGTATAGGATTTCTGAGGAGTGGCTGGTGAGTTTGAACAGCTGACCTTGCAGTTCAAACTGACCTTAAGGTCCAGTGCTTATCCTACAGTGCCTCACCAAGACTCCAAATGGTGATTACTCAGTTCTTAAAATAGCCGTCTGAAGTGGTGGTGGGTGTGTGCTGTCAGGTTGGACTCTACATAGGGTTTCTGAGGCTATAAAGGAGCAACTACTAGGTTTGAACTGCTGACCTGTGGTTAGCAGCCCAGCTTGTAATGCACTATGCTACTTTTTGAGTAGGTACAATAGATGGGAAAATCATAGAACAGAGAGATCAAATAACTTACCTGTGGTTGTAAATCAGGATTCAAAACCAGGGAGTAACTCTAAAGTCTCTGTTCTGAAATGCCATATGGTGCGATCTGATCATGCCATCTTGCTTTCTCCCGAAGACCAGGACTGCTGCATATTGTACATATTATTTACTACCTCAGGGATCCAGTCCAGGGAGGTAGACATTGATGTTTAACTTGCTCTCTGTTCACCAAACTGTTAGTGTGTGACAACCAACCAAAGTCTTTTTCTGATTTGGGCAAAGTCAAACTGTGGATAGCAGTGGCTTTCTTCAAGGCTCACGTCACCACATACACAATGGATCCCACCCCTTCCTGTCTCTTCTAACAGTTTGTAGCCTCAGTGATTTTCCAAGCATGGGCAAGAATTTGACATGATGAACAACATGAGACTACACTTCCTAATATCTGTTCATTATCTGCATAAAACCTTTAGAATGCTTGAAGCTTTAGCTTCTCTTGCCTATTCCAGGAACTAATATTTAAACCCTTTCATTATCTTCATAGCCTTTTTCTGGGAATCTTTTAAAGTGCTCTAGGTCTCTTTTAATTATAAAACTGCTCAAGAATGAAAAGCAAAGTCACTATAAAAGTTAAACTAAAGTGTTAATTAAACTATGGAACCCAACTGCCTTTTATAGCTTAGTTTCTATGGGAAAGTATGTTCTGAATTTCTCTTTAGGATGCCTCGAGAATTTTCTCCTCTAACTAAAGGGGTTGAAGGAGCCCTGGTAATGTAGGGTTACAAGCTGGACTGCTAACTGCAAGGTCAGCTGTTCGAATCTACCAGTTGATCCCCAGGAGAAAGATGAAGTTTTCTGCTTCCATAAGATTCACAGCCTCGGAAACCTAGACAGCATCACTATGAGTTGAAAACAACTCGGTGGCACACACAAACACTAATGTCAGTAAGAACTAATAAGGTGTTGACAAATGAGGTGGTACCTCTTTATATGAATTGGCCATCAGCAGTGGGGCATTCATAGGTTTGTAAACCTCTTATGTCTGCTATTCTTGCCATATTCAATCCATTCCTGATACAAATCACCAGAGTGTTCTTTTAAAAAGTACAGTATGGTGTGACACCTGCCTTCTTAAAACCCTCAAATGTTTCTAATTGCTATTAGATAAGATCCTTAGCATGGCCTATGGAAATGACCTGATCCCTTCCTATTCCTTTTGCTATATCTTTACCCATTTTCCCCTCCTTTAATTATTCTTTAGCCATATTAGTCTCCTTGTAGTCAGGTCTAATGGCACTGTGGGTTAATGTGCTGGATTGCAAGGTTGGTTTGAATCATGTGGTTGGCCATTCAAGATCACCAGCTGCTCTTTGGAAACCCCAGGAGGGTTGCTATGAGTCAGAACCAACTCAGTGGCACTTAACAACAACAATGGACCCCTGGCTTAGGAATTAGTGAGCTGAAATGGATTGGCACTGCTATTTTGAATCTAACAGTCATGTGGTTTACTATGTGTGAAATGACAAATTGAAGAGGAATAGTTTCACATTTATCATCAAAAAGAAAATTTCAAGGCCTATCTTGAAGTATAATGCTGTCTGTGATAGGGTAATATCCATATATCTATAAGGAAGATCAGTTAGTGTCACTTTATTCAAATTTACCCATCAACCACTAAAATCAGTGATGATTAAATTGAAGAATTCTACCAACTTCTTCAGTATGAAATTGAGAAAACATGCAATCAAGATGGACTGATAATTACTGGTGATTGAAATGCAAAGATTAGAAACAAGATAGAAAGATCCATAGTTGGAAAATATGGCATTGGTGATAGAAATGATGCTGGAGATTGCATGATAGAATTTTATAAAACCAATGACATCATCACAAATACCTTTCAAGAATCTAAATGGTAACTATACACATGGAACTAACCAGATGGAATACACAAAAATCAAATTGACTTTATCTGTGGAAAGAGATGGTAGAAAAGATCATCAGCTAAAACAAGGCCAGGGGCAGACTGTGGAACAGACCATCAATTTCTCATATGCACATTTAGGTTGAAGGTGAAGAAAATGAAAACAAATCCACAAAAGCCAAACTATGGCCTTGAACATATCCCATCTGTATTTAGGTATCATCTC